GTTTCATTTATACATATATACTAGCGGACTCAACAGACGTTGTCCTGCATATCCACTTGAATGTATAAACAAAAATTCATTCAAATTAGTTCAGCCGTTTAGGATAAATAACCTAGACATTGACTGCAGCGCCATCTGCCGGGCTGATTTGTGAATCTAAACCATCCAGGGCGCCACTCAAACGCGTACAGAAAAATTCATTTCAATCAGTCAAGCAGAATTATATATATAAAAGGAGATATAGATAATACATTAAAGGTACTTAATTGAATACCTTAAACGTTACTAACTGTCATAGACATCCTTACTAATATTATAAATCTGAAAGTGAGTTTGTTTGTTTGTTTGTTTGTTCCACCTTCACGCCGTAACAACTCAACCGATTGCTTTGAATTTTGCAGACGTAAAGTTAGAAGTCCAGATTAAATAATAGGGTACTTTTTATCCCGAAAAAATTTGATATTCCCGAGGAAAAACAAAAGTATTGGTATAGATGGCGCTGTGTGTATTGGTATATGTCACATAGGCTACTTTAAACTTTTTATCCTTTTGTGACGCGAGCGAAGCCGCGGGTAAAGCTAGTAGATAATACATTAAAGGTACTTATTTGAATATATACGTTACTAACTGTCATAGACATATAAAATATATAGGTTCGTGTTAACATTTTTTTTAAGGGGGGAAAATCATCGAATGACTGCTCCCGCCTGGGTGAGGCGGGAGGGAGTGTCAGACTCTTACTGACTAAAAACCACCCCGTTCCTTCTCCTGTACGTCGAGCCGGAGCCCCGGTTACCCGTTAGGTTCTCTGCGACTCGTGTTAACATTACACTTTACACTTCAGTTATTCCACTGCGAATGCATAACCTCATTTTTCGCAGTCAGTCAACACATCCAATCTGCATGACTGCAGTATACAGTGCAATCCAGTTGTTGCTAAACCTGTTTTAATAGTTTTTATATTCAAGACCAAACTGTAGTAAGAGTAACTAGCATAAATAACCACATAACATCACGCCTTTTATCCTCGAAGGGATTTTTTTTTTAAGGGGGGAAAATCATCGAATGACTGTTCCCGCCTGGGTGAGGCGGGAGGGAGTGTCAGACTCTTATTGACTAAAAACCACCCCGTTCCTACTCCTGCACGTCGAGCCGGAGCCCCGGTTACCCGTTAGGTTCTCCGCAACATCCTCGAAGGGGTAGGCAGAGGTGCAAATTATACCACTGTACAATGTAACACCCACTTTTCACTATTTATGTTATGAGTCCCATGTAATAGGGGGTGAGCCTATTGCCATATTGCCACAGTTCCAGACTCCGTGGTACTACTGAAATTTTTTTTAAAACCCAGTAGTACTTTGCCCGACCCGGGAATCGAACCCGAGACCTCTTACCCGGCAGTCGCAATTGCAACCACTCGGCCAACGAGGCAGTCTACCATAAATAATGAACAATAATTAGTCACTATTAGCTTTTGCCAGCGGTTTCGTCCGCATTTTCATGAAATAAATAGCCTGTGTTATTCCAGGCCACAAAAGACCCATGTTCCAAATTTTATCTCAATCCCATCAGCCATTTGAGTGTCAGACGCATCTCTCTCGACTGCACGGTTGGTGTGGTGGCTGGGCAACCAGCTGCCGTGCAACGTGTCGCGGGTTAGATTCCCGCACGGAACAACACTTTGTGTGATCCACAGATTGTTGTTCCGGGTCTGGGTGTCATGTGTATGTGAACTTGTATGTTTGTAAACGCACCCACGACACAGGAGATAATCCTAGTGTGGGGCAACGTTTTATTAATATAAAAAAAAAGAAAAAAACTGACTAAAACCACCCCGTTCCTACTCCTGCACTTCGTCATGGAATAATGAAATGACAATAATAATGGAACGTAGGTGAGCAGCCTATTAACCAACCATAAAAGATTTGTAGGTACGTATGTCTATCGCGCCTATATTAACATCTAAAATGTTTGACAAGTTTCATTATACACGAAAGTCGATTCAGATTGAAATCAGATATTATAATAACGGGTACTTGCCTTAATCATAATAAATTATTTCGACTGTTCAATACAATTAAATATTGAAAAATAATCACACTTCATTAATTTGTTGTTATGACCAACTTAATTTTAGTATTTTTCTAGCAAATTTTTAAGAAATAAGTATACCGTTTGACGTTAAAAAACGTGACGTCACCAATCTCATATAAAATTCATAGAAAACTGTCGTTTTTGACAGCTCGAAAAGAGTATTGCATTTAACTAGTTGGCACGTACACAATTCAAAATGGTACCAAATTCTAACCTATCAGTGGATAATGGTAATCTATAAGTACTAATAATACTTAGTTACTTTTTTTACGTTTTAATTTTTACTTTTTATTTATTTTTAGTTTTTGGTTTGTGGAAGTCGGTTTTTTAAACGCATTTTATTTTTTTATTATACATTTTATCCCCTAAGGTTTTCATAATTTTCATCTAGGGACAGGGATAAGCAAAAGGAGAAAGGAATCCAAAAATCTAAAGCAAGGGCTTTCGGTTTCATTTTTCAAGTTCACCACGAAATAACAGATGTACCTATTGTTCGAACAACATAAGCCACAGGTCAAGAATTTCACTCTCTCTCCATGCAAACGTTTGTATTTTCTATTGTATATAGTTTTCTACTATAAAAGCTAGGCCTAGCATTACGCAAACTGGTTGGGCTAACCAGAATAACTTGATTTAGATTCGTTCCGAAAATCAATGCGATTGGCGACTGAATCCTGTACGTTAGACAGGTTTGTTTCAGAAGTACAACTCTGATTCGTCGTCAAATCCAATGAATTTTGATTACATGAGTCAAAAAAAAATATTTGTGTAACTAAGGTACATATAGTTTGTTTAAAAAGAGGCTCATAGTCCAACTAAGGACTGAAAGAAGACTGTTGGTGAAATTCTCAATTATAATACGAAACTAAAAAGTTTATGTAACTATTCTTTTTTTTGCAGCGTAATCCGGTAAACGAGCAGACGGATTACCTGATGGTAAGCAATCGGCGTCGCCCATGGACACCTGGAACACCAGAGGCGTTATAAGTGCGTTACCGGCCTTTTGGGGAATAGGAGATTCAGGATTGTTAGGGGTTCAAGGATTGGGGAAGGGGAGGGGGGGTGGTAATTGGACCTCCTGTAACCTCACTCACACAACGCAACCGTTGCTTCACGTCGGCTTTCTATAAGGCCGTGGTATCACACTGGTCGAGGCGGCCCATTCGTGCCGAAGCATGGCTCTCCCACACTTCATATTCATTTATTCTTCTGTAGGTTTTCTGTTATATGTCTCTGACGGACTATTACATATAATCACTATCAATTACTTACATAGTAACAATTAGCAATACTTTCCTTGCCTTTTTTACTTTTTATGACCCACAATGTATTATTACGTGCATATTCGTGCAAAGCAAGTGACCCAGAACAAAGAAAATTACAGTGTTTATAGCGACATCTAGTTGTGAGCCAGCGTAACTTGGTTGTTGCTTAGTTCGTATTTGTCGCAATAGATGGTGTTGATTGTTGATTCATGTTATAAAGTTATGAATCAAGTAGTATTTGTAAGTAGGTATATCACGGTTCTTGAATGTGGTTCATAACAACTAGGTTTTCGTTCTAAAAGGAGTCAGCAGACATCGAGCTTATTGTGTTTAATTATACCTACGTTTACACTAGTTACGTTTTATAAGTGGCATAATATTAAGAAATGAACTTATTTCCAAATAGAAATGTAATTCTAGATTTCATAATTTTACTGAGAATATTTGAATAGTAAAAACATGATTAGTAAACGGTTTCACCTAGCCTAAGCATCGAATTCAAGGCTTCAGCAATGTTTTCTAAGTGTCGAGACGGCTCGGCCGGCGTGATACCACGGCATAACAGAAAACCGGCGTGAAACAACGCTTACGATGTCTCGCCGGGTGAGTGAGATTACCGGAGAAACAATATACACTCTGTCCCACTTCTGATCAATATTAAATTTTGCGAAAGTTTGCGAAGACTTATTAGACTTATGGGTTCACAAATTCTTACTTGATTGTACCTTTTAATGGTATTTCTTCACGCAACAACTACTGCATAGATCAGAACGCAGTTTGGGACAAAATCATTTATTTCAATTAGACCAGAAAGGCACTTTTGAACGTCAACAATAAAATTAAAACTGAAGCTAGTTAGTTGCTCATTCCAAGGTGTAGATTCCTATGGAGAAGAACGAGCAAGAAACTCCATAGGTTACTCTTTTTCAATCAAGTTTACAATACAATCTACTAGTTACATAGTTTGCTGTTTGGATTGTGCGAGAACAATGTATCACTAAAATCTAGTCAAAGTGATCGAAAAAGAAAATAATCTTAACAGATTCATAAGTAGGTTGGGTTCACGCATACCTAGGCTGACTTTTTATGTTGGTAACACACCGGTGACACAAGCAAAACCGGTGGCAGAAACTAGTCGGTCATTTTATAAAAAACCACTTCATTGATGCAGTGAACATCTGACCTAGTTAACATCTGATTCCGTTCCCAGTTGCATCAAAATGTTATTTTCTCCTCCTAATGATATAAACTTACTTTTACTTTTAAATGACTAACGTAACGTTACATTTTAATATAATATCATAATCATTACGACTCTTTTTATAACAATTAAAATTCCATAATTCACGATTCAATTTAACAAAAATCTCACTGAACTCAAAACAATGGCGTGACAATCATACCATGCTTTCCAATAATTACGCAAAAAAAAATAAAGTTTCGCACAATTTCCATAAAATACCCATAGCACACACGGCCCGCGGATGCACACCCATCAAATTCCAGACCTTAGCTTAACCGCCCCCCCGAAAAAGAAAGTTAACATAGTCGATAAAATAAGCTTCGAGTACTCGCGCATCTCAGTTTTACCTCGCGCGCGAACGCGGGTTGCCACATGCAATAAAACAAAAAAAAAACAAGATGGCGACGAAATATTTTTTAGTTTTTTTATTGCTATTTTGTTATGAAGTCCAAAGTGCATCGATTTTGGAACAGGGTTACGAGTATTTTGTGAATTTGGGGAAAAATTTCGCTCCGAATTTGTTGTCGATTTTAGAATGTGTTGGGCAAAATGAAGCTTGGGAGTGCGCACGGGAGAAAGCTGGGAAGATGCTGGACGGGTTTGAAGATGAGGTGGAGAAAGAGAGGAGGAGTTGGGAAGGTAAGTTCCTGTATATTTTTTTAGTAGTAATAGTTTTAAGTCGACAAAAGCGGTGTAGTTAGGTGATTTTACGACAAACGAAAGTATAATGTTCGCCGGTTATAAGATGTTCGTGGTTTTAAATACGGGAATAATTTTAAGTTGAATGCATATAATTAAGAAGTAAAAAAATCTGAGATGAGAACCAAAAAGATTTTAGACGCAAGAGTTTCTTAATATATTTTGAAAACCTTCGCACAAAAAAATTATAGGTAAATATTTCGTATCTACAACATACGTAGATTAAAACACAAAACATATTTTTTTTTCATGATATAAACTTCAAAATTAATACCCGATTTTCTCATTTAATTATTCGACTTTCGCTTCACAATTATTGTAAATATAAATATCTAAATTCATTATTATTCGGTGTAGCCGGTCCACAGTTAGGCGCGTACAAATATAAATAACAATATTATTTTACTCTTTTATTTTGAAAACTTTCTATTTTTAAGGAGGGAAAATTATCCAATGACTACTCCCGCCTTAGGTTAGGCGAATGGGAGTGTCAGACTCTTACTGACTAAAAACAACCCCGTTCCTACTCCTCTTCAAGCCGAAGCCCTTGGCAACTTGTTAAGCCTACCGCGGCCCCATCTGTGGTGGTCTGATGGCGCTTTGATTATTTAGAAGACACATTATAAATATTATGATGTGTTATAAAACAAATTGCACTTTTAGAATACTGTTTTAGTATAAGTATTGTCACTTACGATAAATATAAACTCTAATGACACAGAAATTATAGTCACGCGATTGTAGAAATTAGATCACACCATTTAAGTAGCAATTATCTTGTTGCAAATAAAAAAAAAATATTCTAATAAAGAATATTTTCACTATTGTCCAAACTACCCCTAAACCTAACTTAAACCTAACTGTTAACTATGCGGTATTTAGCGTGAAGGATCATCTAAACTATTTTTTTTAACGTAAACTTACCTCGTAGCTTTTACACCTTTTACGCATTTTGCGTAAAAGGTCTTTTTAACTTTATCTTTATGTTGTCTGAAATATAGATCGTTCATTTCATTTCATGGGTTGGTGTTAACCAGTATGTCGTTAAGTATCACCTATTTTGGTTCAAAATAAAGAGAGGTAGCTGAAACATCTTTTAACAATGACCTTTTAAACTGCCTTTTTAAAAAAAAAACTTTGCCTATGTTTTTAAAAAGGACCATTGACTGCACGGTTAGTGCGGTGGCTGGGCAACCGGCTGCCGTGCAACGTGTCGCGGGTTCGATTCCCGCACGGATCAACACTTTGTGTGATCCACAAATTGTTGTTTCGGGTCTGGGTGTAAAGTGAATGTGAACTTGTATGTTTGTAAACGCACCCACGACACAGGAGATAATACAATTGTGGGGCAACGATTAAAAAAAAAGGTTATGGAAAATCAATCATATGGATCAACCAATCAATCCGATATATCGTAATCCTTCTTATGTAGAGGAGGCTCATTGTCCTTAAGGTTATTTTCTTTTTCAATCTCTTTGACTGGATATTAGTGTTACATTGTTCTCGCACAATCCAAACAGCAAACTATGTAACTAGAGAATTGTATTGTGAACCTGATTGAAAAAGAGTAACCTATGGAGTTTCTTGCTCGTTCTTCTACATAGGAATCTACACCTTGGAATGAGCAAATAACTTCACTTTTATTTTAATTTGTTTTTGACATTCAAAAGTACCTTCCTGGTGTAACTGTGGGATACGAATGGGCCGGCTCGATCGGAGTGATACCACCAACGAGCAGAAAACCGACGTGAAACAACGCTTGCGTTGTGTTTCGTCGTGTGAGTGAGGTTACCGGGGGCCCAGCTCCCTCCCCCCGTCCCTAATCTCCCCAATCCACGAATCCCCAACAATCCTTAAACTCCTAATCCCCAAAAGGCCGGTAACGCACTTGTAACGCTTCTGGTGTTCCAGGTGTCCACGGGTGACGCCGATTGCTTACCATCAGGTGATCCGTAATTGTAATAAGTGATTTTGACTTTTGACTTTGACTTATAGTCCGGGAGCGTACTGTCACGGTCTATGATGATGCTACCAAAGAATCAAATACGAAATATTATATTTATAAACAGAAAAATCGAACACGAGTCATCTTTATTCAGACGTAACAACGATCACTCAAATAAGAAATATCTAGATAACTTACGTAACAAATGAAAGTGTCAAAATATGCAACACTTAGGTAGCACTTAACATCAACTTGCTAAATATTATCAACTCACAACTTTTCCTTTTAAATATTATTATAAAAGAAACACTATTTACTCTATTCATTAACTAGCTTCTGTCAGCGGTTATGCCCACGTTCCCAGGGTTAAAAATCACTGGAGGACACGGTGGAGCATACGGTGGCGGTGTGTCCTGCGTGGGCTGAGCACCGCCGTGTCCTCAGGAATGTCATCGGCGACGGAACCTCTTGCGTCCGGCTTTGGTTCAGACCATGGTACGCAGCGAGGGGGACTGGGATGCCGTCTCCTCCTTCTGCGAAGCAGTCATGCTAGCTAAGGAAGAGGCGGAGCGAATAAGGGAACGAAACTCCTCACGTCCTAGCCGTCGTAGACACTCTGGGCGTCGGGGATCGCGAGATGATCTCCGGCCACTGTAATCACGGGCCTGCGGACGACGAGCACGGGTAACTCGCCATCCGACCAGAACCAGGCCCGAGCGTACGGCGCGTTGCTTTCCGCGTGCGCCTCAAGGAGCCATCAGACCACCACAGATGGGGTCCAATAGGGCTGATGTCGGTACGGAGCCGCGTAGGGCTAAACGAGTTACCGGGGCTCCGGCTCGAAGTGCAGGAGTAGGATCGGGCTGGTTTTTAGTCAGTAAGAGTCTGACACTCTCTCCCGCCTCACCCGGGCGGGAGAAGTCATTCGATGATTCACCCTCTTAAAAAAGACCATAATATTTTTCATGACAATGAACTTTTCACAACTAGTTTGTTGGTATTATTGACTGACTGACTGACAACCCACAGCGGCAACTATTGGACCTAGGAAGCTGAAAGCATTAGGTTAGTTAGTATGTTCTTCGGAGAGAGTAGGGGAGCATTGAGAGACAATTTCCCTAAAATCCCACGGGAACGGGAAAAACGGAAATCATCTATTTGTACGTGTGAAGTTGATGACAGAAATTAGCAAATAAACAATCCTTACTAATATTATAAATCGGAAAGTGAGTTTGTTTGTTTGTTTGTTCCGCCTTCACGCCGTAACTACTAGACCGATTGCTTTGAAATTTTGCAGAGGTAAAGTTAGAAGTCCAGATTAAATAATAGGGTACTTATTATCACGGAAAAAATTGATATTCCCGAGGAAAAACAAAAGTATTGGTATAGATGGCGCTGTGTGTATTGGTATATGTCACATAGGCTACTTTTTATTCTTTTGTGACGCGAGCGAAGCCGCGGGTAAAAGCTAGTTTTTTTTATAAATGCGACAGTTTGTGTGTATGTTTGTTACTCAATCAGGTCAAAACGGCTGAAGGGATCGGGATGGAATTTGGAACAGGGATAGATTATGGTCTGGAATAACACATAGGCTACTTCTTATCTCACGGACACGCGGGCGAAACGACTAACAGAAGCTAGTAAATTTATAATCAAAGATAAAAATTTAAGGTGCTGGTGTACGTGTCATGTTCGTGAACGGGCGCCGTCAAATGGGATTGGTCTCCCTGGTCTGGCTCTTAAAAACCTAAGAAAATAACCTTAAAAGGTTATTTCCTTTTTCAATCACTTTGACTAGATTTTAGTGTTACATTGTTCTCGCACAATCCAAACAGCAAAACTATGTAACTAGTAAATTGTATTGTGAACCTGATTGAAAGAGAGTAACCTATGGAGTTTCTTGCTCGTTCTTCTCCATAGGAATCTACGCCTTGGAATCAGCAAATAGCTTCACTTTTAATTTTATTATTGACGTCCAAAAGTGCCTTTCTGGTCTAATTGAAATAAATGATTTTGACTTTGACTTTACTAAGTCAAAGCATTTATTTCAATTAAACCATAATTTGGTACTTTTGAAACGTTAACAAATACAAAATAAATAATAGTCTGTTAGTCAGTCCGTCAGTGAAACTAGGTGAAGCTAGGTGCGCATTCCAAAATGTAGATTCGAATGGAGAAGAACGAGCAATAAACTCCATTAGTTACTCTTTTTAAAAAAGTATGTTCTACAATGTCTCTGATACATATTTCAATACTGTACGTATATGTGAGAACAATGCAAAGACACGCTGGACGCATTATAGGTACTAATTACAAACCTTACTAAAATAAAAAACATCTTATAGTCTAACAAAATCCTATTATCGACTTTCGAAATCAAAAACACTCAATAACACTTTACTCTATCAATAAGAGAAAATGTTTTACAAAAAGGAAAAGTTTTGGAATATTTAATTCGTTCGTCTTCTTGTGTACAAAATTAACATATTTAGGCATAATACAAATGATCTATAGGCGTAAAAGAAATTATTTTAATATACATAATTCATAAAGAGAAACTCTATCGGTATCTCTACATAATATAGAGGTAAATCGCTACTTAATAATTTTTCTTAAACGAATTTCGATCACTTATACTCCTTTCAACTATAACATAACATCACGCCTTTTATCCCAAAGAGGTAGGCACTTTCGGCACTTAATGCCACTATACAATGTAACACCCACTTTTCACTATTTATGTTATGAGTCCCATGTAATAGGGAGGTGAGTCTATTGCCATATACCGGGTACAATTCCAAACTCTGTACTACTGAGAATTAAAAAAAAAACCAGTAGTACTTTGCTCGACCCGAGATCCCTTACCGAGTCCAAACAAATCAAAATACCTAAAAAATCCCTTTGTGTACCATTGTCACCTTCAGAATATAATATCTAACACAATTTCAACCTTTCTACCCATAGCCTTGATGTGTAAGCGTGATAATTTACCACC